AGATGCACTAGTCTATGATTTTCTCAGACGCATACGCTCCTTTTGCCTTTACCCAAATGACAGAGGGTCTGATCTTGCTCTGACTGAAATCCCTGTGGTCCTGCGTCCCAACTTCCCAAATGCGCACAAGACACACCAACGCCAGCACACCACACACACACACTAGCATGACCATTTTGTAGAGAGGGGAATCTGTCGTTTGCTACAGTGGCCCAAGTGGAAAAAGAAGAACATATCCCTGGGCTAGACCAAAAGGTCCTTTGGCAGGAAAGTTACTTGCAACAGAAGAGAGAGCTTAGTATAGCAACCCTTGCATGCCCAGAATACAAGCTTCAAATAAAGAAAACGAGTCCTTCTGAAGAAACCTGCCATATATAAGGTTGGGCTTTTTCGATTAGGATGTGACACGCTTTCCCCGTTCCTCAGTGCTCAGTGGAACAAAGAGATTGCCCCATTGCTAGGACCCCTTCCTCTGCGTTTCATATTTCATACGTCTGTAACTGTGGGAACAGAGCTGGGAATGAAGGGGAAGAAACAAGTTGCGAGTCTCCCCTGGGTGACACCTGGTTACAAATGGAGCTCTGGACACTAGATCATTTCATGTGTCGGCAGAGGCGTTTCTGCCTGGGAACATTTGCCAGCTCACGCGTGGGCCAGCAACAACGTGACTCTCCCGCCCCGTATCCTGTCTCATGTCAGGCTGCAAGACCAAGCTCTGCTTCCAGGAATGAGACAGCCCCACGGCTGTGTGTGTTCTCTTTGGGGGCCGAGGAATTACACGATCTAATTGCATCTCACAGCTCATCTCCTTCTAGGTTAAAAACTCTTGACTGCTGGCACGAACCTAACAGCGATCGCTAAATAATACAGGCAAGGATTAGTCTACATTCATCGCGGCCGCCAGTGCGAGATGATAAACCAGACGGTATAAAAAGAGGGTGGTTTTCGAAAACACCGTACTCCATAACATCGTATGGTGAAAGCAAGCCAATTGGTGCAAAAAAAAAAAAAGCCTTTGGAAATGCCTGAAGCGTTGCCTTTGCGCTGCATGATAACAGTGAAACGCATTCATTCCCTACTACTGGGGATGTGCTCTCGGGGTCTTACAGGAAGACATCCTGTAGCCGGCTTACAAGGCTCGCCTCTTACATCTTGAACTTCCTGTTGACGAAGAACAAAGTGAAACACTATTAAGGTTTCTGTCCGCGGAAACGAGCGTCGTTAGCCCGTGCGGGCTGCCGCGAAGCCCCCGGCAAAGGCGGCGTGGCGGCCTGGTGCCTGCAGGAGGCGCTGTGGCCCGGGCAGGAGATGCTGCGCAGAGTTAGTGAGCGGGCAGAGTCCAGGCAGGAGCCTGGCTGGTGAGGAGGCTCCTGCTGGCTTTTCCAGACAGAGCCAGGAGTGCAGCACAAAATGCAATGGGGGCGGATGGGTGAGGAGAGTACAGGGTGAAGAGGGGAGCCAGACAGGCCCCGGGCCCCCCCCCCCCGCCATGACAGATCTGCAGAAGGGGATGGCGGGGAGGACAAGGAGCAGCGCACGCTGCTCCTCCCCCGCATTCCCGCTGCCCTGAGCTGAGGGGCGGAGTCTCGCTCTGAAAGGGGCCGGGCCAAGCCCCGTGGACCTCACAGTGGGGCAGCAGGCAGGGGCCTGCCTTGCCCTGGAGTGAGCGGGGACTGACCAGCTTGGGCGGGGGTGAAGGGCACAACAGCTCCCGGGGCAGGGGAGGTGTGGGGGAGGCTGACTCTCTGTCCCCAGAAGGGGGGCTGCCAAGGCCCCTTTTCACCACCCCGGTGATGCAAAGTGGCCGGCAAGTGGGGAAAAGTGACAGCAACAGCCGCTGCCAGGCAGTCGCTGCCGCAGTGACAACCGGGACCCCGGGGTCCCGGTGATGAGCAATTCCCGCGTTCCAAGTAATCGCCTTCAGGAGACCCCGATAGCCCCCGGCCGATAAGGATCTCACAGCAGCAATTCATGGAGGGTCTGGCTACCCTACAGGGGCCATCGGTGGGAAAGGCTCCACTTTTCCCCACGGCCTCACCCCATGGGAGAGTCTTCTTGCGGCAGAGGAAGGCTCCAGCAACTGGGAGGCAGTGCTGCTGAAAACAGCAGTGCTGGGGGCTATGGAAGTGCATACCCTGCGCACCCCCGAGAGAAGCACGTAGGATGGATGTTGCCTCAGCCTCCCAGTGCCCCCTGGAGGCGGATAAGCATCACCATAATAGCTCTGGGGAAACTGAGGCACGGCAAGCTCAGTCGTGTAACTTCCCACCCACAGCTCCCACGGAAGTAACAATGATCTGGCCATCCGCTGCTCGCATCCACGATCGATTGCACTGGGAGGCTGTGGCCAGCACATCTGAGAACATCAGAAGATACGGCCCATGGCTGATTAGCCTGAGCCATTATTCACAAATGAGGAAGAGTAATTGATTTACAAGGGCTAGGACTGAGGTTTCAGCTCTTTCTGGCCACTGGAGAGTTGGAAGCTTCCTTATTCCTCCCTCCACCCCCAGCAGACTTCAGGGGAGTCTTTCTATTTTACCTTCCTCTCTCTTCCAGATCCACCCGATTTCTCTTTTGTACCAGACCTGCCGGTTGAGCTTAGCGAGATCCAATATCTCAGCCTAACACAGGGCCTGGATTCTGGGCTATGCTCATGCTAGACAGCGGGGCAAGGTGCATATTCCGTCCTCTATTTTATTCTTGCTTCTGCTAACTCCTAGAGGGCGCGGTTTGGCTTGAATGAGGAAGAAGGGTTACCAAGGCTGGGCCGGTACATGATTATGGGAAGGGACGTATGGCTTGTTAGCAGCTGCGAGAAAGATCTAACTTGCCCTGTGCCCATCAAAACGGATGGGAGTGTAATAATGTTGACCATCATGGTTATGCTGTGGTCTTTAAAGCCAGAAAGAAGATCAGGGCTTCTGATTCCCGATGAGAGCTATTTTCAAGTATCTAAGAGGGTGAAGGGAGGAGGGAGGAAAAATTGTTCTCCTTGGCCTCTGAGGATAGGACAGGAAGCAATGGGCTTAAACTGGAGCAAGGGAGGTTTAAGTTGGACATTAAGAAAAACTTCCTACCTGTCAGAGTGGTTAAACACTGGAATAAATTGCCTAGGAAGATCGTGGAATCTCCATCACTGGAGATATTTAAGAACAGGTTGGATAGACACCTGTCAGGGATAATTTAGATGGCGCTGGGTCCTGCCGTGAGGGCAGAGGACTGGACTCGATGACCTCTCGAGGTCCCTTCCAGTTCTAGTGTTCTATGTTTCTATGATGATGTTAATATGAACTACTGATGGCACATTACTGTGGAGGTTACATGAATGGGCAATGAATATAAAGCAGTAATAAAGAGTAAAGCAGGATTTACAAGCAAAATGCTTTCCCCCTGAAAACCACCCTTGGTATTTCACTATCAAATCAAACCCCCTTATTTTTCCAATCAAGTTTTAGACTGTTGTTTTCTGAACACCTTCCATTTCCCAGAGTGGAGGGATCGTGGCATGGAAAACACCTAAGCTTTTAAGCACTGGCATAGAATAAGCTTGATACTTTAGGAAACGTTAAGCAATTTGCAAGAGACCCTTTAACAACATCTATTCATGTTTTTCCAGAAAAATAAATTCCCACATACAGTTGGGGTTTTGTATCATGAAACCATTAGCCATTTTTATTGCTGGTGCACAGAGGGTACTGTCACACTTGATACAATTTCAACACAAATGAAAAAATATAATATATGGCTGATTGAAATTGAAAAGCTACATGAACATGTATACATCTATAAAGTTATTTTATTTTACAAGCTGCTAGTAATTTCGAGGGATAGCAGGTTTTAACCTATCCATGTTCGTATGGCTCCAATTCAGAGATAGGACTCATTTCACGAACTCTAAATATATCCTGAAATACATGTCCTTGAAAAAGTCAAAGCTGTGCGTTAAAATATATAAAAAATATGCCCCACAGAAGTATTAGAAAGAGAGTCCGGATCGTCTGTGGATTATCTCGGGGCATGAAAATTTCCTGGTTGACCGCATTTCTGATTGGAACCAACCGTGCCACAATCGTAGGCTTAGCGGACGCGAACATGCGCTTTAACTGAACCAAAGTCTCAGCTGTTACCCTACTGTAATTCTGATTCACTCCAGATTTACACCAAGGTAAGTAAGGTCGGAATCTGGCCTGAGACCAGAATTCAGCCCTTTGTCTTCAGTGGGGCAGGCCTAAGTCTCCACTGATGTGGAAGCAGATGACGAGCCAGGAAAAGCAGCTCAGCAAGGGACTTTGCTTTGGCCTGCCTGTGACGGCGCTTGAGAACCTGGCTGCACTCGGGCCTTCGTGCAAGGCAATGCCACTGGACGGCAGCAGGAGCTGCCCCTGAAAGGTCACATTCTGCCCTCAGTATCCCCTGCCCCGAGCTTCATCAAGGAAGGCCCAGAGCATCAGCTGTGGTGGGCGGGGCTGGAATCGCCAGTGATTTGCATAGTGGTCTCCATCCGCCCCCCTCTCTGTGGCCTCCCCCTGGTCCCAAAGGGGTTTGCTTGCCCGGGGGGCCCCATTCCCAAAGCCGTCGTCGGGGAGAATTTGGATCCCTGGCTCCGGCAGGTGCTTCAGAAAAGCCGAGGCTGGTGTCTCTGCAATGCACAGCCCCCTCCTTTCCCGCTCTGATAGCTCCGGCCCTCCCCGCTGTCCCCTGTTTCCTCCCCTCTGCAAACGACTCGATTCCAGCCCCACCGCGCACAGCGAGGAAAGCAGCAGCAAGAGCAGGCTTCAGCATGGTGGAAGGAGGCACCGCAAGGGGGGGGAGGGGTTCTGTGCGCACAAGAGGCCTAGCTGCCCACGAGGCCCTTATCCGAGCCCCCCTCCCCTCCTTCCCTTGATTCATTCCCCAGCAGTGTGCAAAAAGACCCTGCCTGCGCCCCCCTCCCCTCCTTCCCTTGATTCATTCCCCAGCAGGCTGCAAAAAGACCCTGTCGGTAAGAGGGGGGAGAGGTTCTGTGCGCACAAGAGGCCTAGCTGCCCACGAGGCCCTTATCCGAGCCCCCCTCCCCTCCTTCCCTTGATTCATTCCCCAGCAGTGTGCAAAAAGACCCTGCCTGCACAGAAATGAGGGGGCCGTCTTGGCACTGTGCTCACTCACAGCTGTGGCCGCTTGGCCTGGCTTCTCAGGAGCCAGGCCGGCTGCGGTGGGACTCTCAGCAGGAGAGCCAGGCTGAGGTAAAACAGGCCTGCGCATTCCCCAGGTGTGGCTGAACGTCATCTGGCGGGGATGGAGAAGGCCGGTGCTTAGCAATGAACTTGCCTCGGCAAAGCTGAATGGCAGAAAAGGCGGGATTTCGGCTAGCTGTCAGCGGCCCGTGCACACAGAGTCCCAGATAAAGAGGAGAAGGAACTCCAGAGATACGCCATGAGCAAAGATCTGGAGATCATGGTGGATTGGGTGTCAGGAGAGGAATCAAGGAACGCTTTTCCTTGGGAGAACAGCCCTTTTAGAAAGAGGATGATTTAGGGACCCCCCGTTTCTGACTTGCTAGGATCCCCCCTGCCCCAAATCCTGACAAATCTCTTAATATAAAGTATAACAAAAAAATTCTGCAAGCCGCTGTTTGAATATACACTGGGTAAACTCAGACCCCATCTTCGGAGGAATGCCTGAATTCACCGAGGACTTGGTCCGTATGGGTAAAGCCAGCCCCGAATGTCCTACCCTTTAAGCGCTCAGGGTGCGTTATCTGTAAGTCCATATTGTTTCTTGCCTTACTTGTTTAAAGCTTTCTCCAGATATTCCTGAATCCATTTTAGCTTGGGGTCGAGGCACACTTGCTTACTGTTGTTCTTCAGCCGGGCACTGTGGAAGGGGAGAGAAAAAGGGGGTGTAAAGACCAGGGGTAACACTGCCCAGAAGGCCTCCTGGGCCAATGTCTGCTCTTGGTGATACCTGCACAATTCAAGTGAAGACAATGGGGCTGCCAGTGTCAAATTCTGCTCTCAGCGTCCCTAGGGTGAGTCTGGGGTAGCCCCAGTGTCGTCACTGGAAATGCGCTGGCTTTACACAAGTTTTAGCAACTAGCACAATACAGCCCCTCAGCTGAATCTGATTGGCTGGCGGCCGTGGGGTTGCATGAGCATGAATGAGGAGTGAAATTTAGTATCTGTGTGGCTGTCCATGTAGGGCCCGTGGGAGCCGCGCTGAGTTTGAAAAGAACCGATACGCACACGCCGTCTCGGCAACGGATTAATTGAAAACCCCTCTGAACTTTGCCCCAGGCTCAACCCAACCTGAACATTCACCCAGTTTTAGGACAAAACAAAACTGGACTTTCCAGAGGATCCAAAAGATGCTTCTGATCTTTTTTTTTTTTTAATTCTCACACGGGTTCAACGTCTCATCCCCAGACAGGGAAAGAACTGGAAATGCCAGGTTACCAGAGGGGAGCATCCCCTCGTGTCTTTTCCAATGAGCCCGGGAAACGGACGTTCCAGAAATCTCCAGAGAAAGCCTGTTCTCATGAAATTTCCAACCCACGTGCGCGGACTCAAGAGGTTTAGATTAAATATGTTTACAGAGAAGGAGCCAAACTTCTGGATGCTTTATCTGAGCCAACCTCCACCGCTGGAAAGTCACCTCGAGCTGGCTTCTGGGTAGAAACATGAGAAACGGCACTTTATCCAGAGCACTGAAAGCTCGGGAGAGCCCGATGCCGACCCCACAGGGGGCTGAGTACCTGTTCCAAATTGTGAGGCCAATGGGAATTGCTCAGCATCTTGCAGGATCCGGCCCACCAAAGCAATACGAACAGGGCTGGCAGTATGTTGTAGAGGCATTAACGGCCTCTCCAGGCGTGTCTGTCAGGCATTGACGGAGACAGGCCAGATTTTCCTCATTAAGGACTCAGTTCTGCCAGATCCTGAGCACTAGATCCAAGCAAGGACTTAAGCACATGCTTAACTTTAAGCACCTAAGTTTCACTGGTATGGGCTAGGCTCCTTGACTGCTTAAGTAAAGTATAAGAGCCATCTTGGAACGAGGCCAAAATTCTCCACACTTGCAAGACTGCGTCCTTCACGTCGTAAGCCAAGGAAAGAAGCAAAAGACTCTGAAATGTTGCTTGTATCACTGTGGACCCGATCCTGCTGTCCCTACACCAGCAGGGTTTCCATTGGGTCTGGCTCGGATCCCGCTGTCCCTGCCAAATTCAGCAAGGTTACAGCAGAGAGCAGTCAGACTCATAGCCTTCGCATGGGAAAGGCAGAACAGGATAGAGGAGAGAAACGAACCGAAAGCACAACTAACCCCGCTCCACGCACAGGGCCGTGAAAGATAAAACTGGCTCCTATGAAATTTACTAAGGCAAAAATGCCCTCGACATCAAAGGGAATTTGGCTTGGGTAAAAACAAAAAAAAGAACCCACAGGATCATTTCACAAATCCGCTCTGTCGGGATTCCAATTAGATGTTCCAGTCTTAAAAAAATGACGGATTCCAAAGCAAGGAGCTTTGAATACTTATTGAAATTGCTCACAGCCTCCTGGCAGAACCCAGCACACCACATCACAACTGAATTCCACGTTTTAGATATTATCGGCTAACATGGGATTTTTCGACCTTCACATTTTTTAAAATTTCTAGTTTTAAGAAAAGTTGGCTCCAGAGTTCAGCTATCCCCAAATTTCTGGGGCATGTGAACTGAGGGTTCTGTTTCAAGTACGTCACTTTCAGGTAAGTGATTTTGGGGGCGGGGAAATCGGATCAGCTGTTCTGCAGACATTAAACATTGCAAATTATAAACATGTTCAGACCATGCAGGGGAAAGAACACAGGTTTTTTCTATTTCAATGTGTCTCGGATTTTAGCATCTCTAATTACTTCGCTCTCATGTTAATCAAGAGAAAAATGCATATTGCACCGAATCTCAGATTTCTGACATTATGTTGAAACGACTTCAGATCATTCCAAATCCCCTCCAAAGCCTTCACAGTGGGTTTCTCTGACTCTCACGAAATGTACTAGGCAGTCCCAGAAGAACTCAAATCCAAGCATTATAGCTTTTTAGATGCATGCCTCTCCATTCCATCTCAGTAGTAACCAGAGCTACTCACAGCTGGTGAAACACACTCCCGGCCAGATTTTTGCCATTTGCATGAAGAGCAAATGATTTCTCAATTTGGATTGAATTGTCCATTGACCTCCACAAAAATGTAAAGCAGGAAACTTTGTGGGATTTCCTCAGCTTGGATTTTTTTTTTTAATAAATATATTTTTATTTGAATATAAATGTGACTACCTATGTGGATTTTTCAGGAAGTGCGTGCAACTTTATGGGGTTTTTGCATGCAAAACTTGGGAGTTTTTTACCACTCTCCTGGTGCACTTTCAAGGGCCATACTCAGGCCTACATCCAGAACAGTGGACAGTAAACAGGAACACAAAGGATCGGACCATGCAAAGAGCACCCAATAGCCTGCAGGAGTTGAGGCAACTCAGCCCCTGAGGCTGCTGGGGGAATGATTTTTTTTCCCCAGGAAAATTTGCAACCCTTGCCTGGCTTAGCATCTGAGATGGAGAAAAAAGTGCCCGGCCACTTACACAATCTGCAGCGAGCAGTTCGGGGTGGTCAGGATTTTGAGGTGCTTGATGTTGGCTTTGGCCACGTTGCTCTCGTAGAACCTGCAGGGGCATCGGTAGGTCAGGCTGACGGGTTTCTCTGCGGGATGCAGCAATAAAGAGGACACACGTTACTCCTTCCCCCTTAGCCGGCGTGCCAACCTGCAGCGACCACTCCTCTGCTAGGTAGGCCTGGAGATGCAGAGGGCCATGGAACAGCTGTGTCAAACCCCTCTCTAGTTTCCATTGGGGGCCGTCTAATCCCGCAGCTTGTGATTTTAGAAGAGAAGGGGAGGGGTGAGAAACTGGACCCTCAGAAATGGGGCTGAGATTAGAATAAACCTGCTCCATTGTCCTGCACCCCTGCTGGTAATTAGAGGCGATAAAGGCTGGAAGAGCCAGGCACTTGTCTGCTCTGTTATTCTTCCCAATGGTTTTGACCTGAGGCCAGATTAGAAGGTAGGCAGCAGAAAGCCGGGAATTCCAAGGGGTCCAAATCAAAACATGCAGCTCTGCCCAGGTGCAAGCTCCAGGCTGGGAACTGATCTGGGACAGAGCCTGCCAGGGTGTCGGGGAGTTTTCCCAGGGTCCGGCCGCACAGCCTGGCCTATGCTCCCACTGCGGAGCGGAGCGCCCGCTGGCCGGGGGCTCCCCCCGATCAGTGCCCCCCAGTGGGAGACAGGGCGTCACTGGCTCAGCAGGTGGCCAGCGTGGATTCGGATCCTTCCGAAATCCCTGCCCACACCACAATCTTAGCTTAGCATGGCCTCCAGGCGTGAGTCCTTCCAGGCGCCACGTGGCCCGATTCCAGACTGCGGAGACCAGTGGGTGGGGGGCTGCAGCTTTGATGGGAGCGGGAGCAGAGCTAGGTCCTGAGCAGAACGCTGCAAGGGATGTGCGTGTAGGGCAGCCCGGGTCACCCCGGGGCCTGATCCTGACCTCTGTCCCCAGCCTGAGCACCCGCTGAGGTCTGGAGGGGGCTGCAGGATCCTGCCCCCAGTGCGTACACCCCTGAAGCTTCTGCACCCTCCCTAGCATCTCTGGAGCCTGCAGGGCCTGCCTCTGGGGCTGTCCAGCCACTGGCTGCGGGCTCTTGACCGAGACGGAAGGACCCTACCCGTGAATTTGGCCCAGGCTCTGGCTAGTTCCCAGTCAAAGTCCCCAGGGCCACTGGTGCCTTCCATGTCTCTGGATGTTTTGCCGCCCAGCAGTGCTCAGCACCTTCCGGGCGACGGGGCAGACGGGGCTTTGAATCCCTGGCAGGCTGCATGCTCCTTACACGGCCGCCTGGGAAGCTCAAAGAGGAGGCCGCCAGTCACACTGCACCTGATCTGCAAACGCTGACGGGGGTTTCCCCTCCAACACTCCCTAGGGCACGACCACCGACCACCTGACCACCGGAGGAAATGACAGGGGAATCCTTCTCCCAAGCAGCCCTTACGTGTGCGCCAGCCCCCGATCCCCACTGCCGAGCGACTGGAGGCACAAGCGCACGGCAACACCCTGGGCTTGGCAGAACCCACCCAGTGGGGGTCAGGTGGTGGCCAGTGTGTAAGGACTGTGGAGTAACTGACGAGTGATGTTATAACCCCGGGAGCACGTATCAACCTGAGGCTGCCTGCAGGGAGACTGACAGCCTGACCCCTGCTCCTGCAAAGCCAGCCGCTCACTGCAGGGCGCGTGGCAAGGTGCACCGGGTGTGGGCAGCATGTGCATCAGGTCAGCTCTCCGCACCCACCCCGGGAAGCCAAAGGGTTTCTACCTGCACCTGCTCTGCTGGGCTCTGGTCTAGGAAGCCACAACTCCCCCCCTGACCTCCCCTGCCCCAGCTAGGAGGGACACGCACAGGCTATGTCTCCACAAAGAGTGGTCTCTCTCCCAAGTGGTCCCTGAGACAGGAGCTTTGCTGCTGCAGGGATCTCACGAAAACATCAGCACTGTCCCCAGACTCTGACCCATGTGCCCCGCCTGGAGCTGGGGGTGTAACCCACCCACCTCACACCTGCTCCGACCTAGCCAGCAGGCCAAAAGCGGATGGAGATGGAACAGCACAAGACACTACGCCCATGGGTGGGAGGAGGCAGCTAGCCCCTGCTTCGCGGTGCTCAGCCCGCTAGCTGATCCCAGCTGGGGCGGGTACGTCCCCCTGGGGAATTTACCTCTCCCATCCCCTCCCCTTGTTATCTCCTTGTAAAATCCTGCACAGAGGCCAGGCCGTTGGTGGCCAGGTGAGTACCTGGTGATACCCCCAGGGCTGACTGCACCTGGCTTAGCCCACAGTAAAACCAAGCTGCCTCCCTCCCCATGCATTTACAGCGGGACAGCTGCACCCATTACACTGTCACCGGCACACACAGATAGCACCTGGCTTAGCCCACAGTAAAACCAAGCCGCCTCCCTCCCCATGCGTTTAAGTGGGACAGCTGCACCCATTACACCGTCACCAGCACACCCAGATAGCGAACCCCATCCTGCCCTGCAGGCGGCTCTCTTATTAGTCTGGCTGTTCCCCCTCTCGCTGTACCCCCTTCCAAATGGACCCAAGACAAGCTCCCCAAAAGGCCCCTTGTTTTGGAACGAGGGTGTCCACACCAGAGTTACAGCCGCTTCGATTCCCACCTGAGCCCATCGCGCTCCCATGCAGAAAAGCCCTGACACCTGTCTCCAGCCCTACACCCCACCTTTGGGCACAGGGGAGAAGAGGCCCAACAGCATCGGCTGAGCCCACCATGTCTGGAGGTGGGGGGGGCAGGTTGTCTGGGCAAGGGGCAGCCCTCAAGGGACTCTTTCACCAGGACACTGTCCCATCTGTGCCAAGCGACTTTCCCCCGGGGATCAGAAGTCACCATGCCAGGCCAAGCGTGGAACCATCACCCTCCTTTCTCACTGAACCCCACCCCCCCCGACACCCCGGTGCTATGAGACCTCTTCTCTCCTACAGCTGCTGCAACACCACCCACAAGTGCTTCCCTGGGTCCTGGGCGTCCCAGAGGTTTGGGGCTTCGTTCCCATGCAGAGGGGAGCTGTGGAACATTGCTGTGCCGAGCAATTGCTAGAGTGAGGTGGTGGGGTGCGGGGGCTTAGGGGGTCTGCTCCCAGCTCAGTGTCCCTGGGAGGGATTAATGCAACCCCTGACCCATGCCTCCCTCAGTCATCTAAACCCTCCAGCTCCATTCACCCCTTCAAGGAGCCTGCCTGGAGCAGCTGTGGCAGCAGAGAGGCCATGCCCAGAGGACCAGGGAGCTGGGTTCAGAGGATCACCACCCCAGGCGGCAGCTAGTTACAGTTGGCCCAGGGGGTACAGCCAGATCTGGAAGGCAGCGTGTATGTGAGGCCAGGGGCTTCCAGGAGTCAGTGTTAAGCTGGGTGCTTGGGTGGCCACTCAGGAGAGAGTCCAAGGCTACCCAGATGATCAGCAGGTAGGTTGTGTGTCTAGGGGTGGTGCACATTCACACACGCCAGGTGCACCTAGAAAAATTTATTCCACACAGGGATGGAAAAAAATCCACGCCTGGAGGGAACATTGTCTGGGACCCCATCCCGCACCTAGGAAGTCAATGTGAGTTTCGCCACTGGAGACACCGGGCCCCAGGATCGGGCCCCTTGTCAATATCTTGCGAGTGAAACTAACACGGTTTGCTTTCCAGTTCCGCGGCGGCAGCTGAGGCTGGGGGCTGAATGGGCCAGGGAGCGGGCAAGTCTCAAGGGAAACAACTCCCTGCCTAGATCAGGGACTTTGGGGCAAAGAGAAGCGAGCAAGGCGCGTGTGACCAGCGACCCATCTACCCACCGAAGAGCCGCGGGCTGGCCGAGGCGGACACGCCGTGCGCAAAACTCCAATTATTAATCTAAATCCGAGGCCAGATCATCCCTCCCCTCCCGTCTTAATTACAAAGTTGCGCCTCCGAAGCGTTGTTCAGCCGCTGTCTAAACGCCCCGGGGCCCAGGGAAGAGAATCCGAATTGAAATCGGATCAACCCGCACGCCGATCGGTTTTTAGAAAGCATGTGC